TTTAAAGCGCTCAGACTGAACAAAAATCGAAGAAACCGGATTAGTTTTTGATTAAATTAAGTTTCAAGCCCCGAGGGGAAGAAAAATGATGAAACACAGTATTTATGCTACTCAGTGATAGCAGCCCCGTTTTAGAGTACGTATGACTACGTTGAAGTGTGAAGGTAGAAAGCAAATGAACCTCATCCAGTCCTTGGATCAAGAGCAGTAGACTGGTGACGAAATGTGTTGTTGTAACTGATCTTCTGAGCTGCGTTCCCGATATTGTGAGATACTAATCATTTGTGAGTAGTACGCAAAACGATGCGATCAGCGTGTTCTTTCAACGATCAAAAATCAACAAGATCTGTTGGAGCAAATTGCTGATGTTCCGTATGGTGAAGACAAGCATGCACATCTAATAGTGAATCGTTCCATCAACTATCCTCTGTGTGTGGCGGGTGGAGTGGGGTGGGAATTCTGCTAAACTTGTTCCAAATGAAATATTTTGTTGTATGAATGACAAACTAACCATATCTCGAACGTTATTGACAATAAGTGACTATCCTCGACCAGCACCGTCTTTTAGAATTATAACAACTGGTGGTGTGCTGGTGTACTCTCCGATGCAAATCACATCCTCGGCCTTGGCGTTTTAACTCGCACAATTTTATTGATCTTTCAGTACATGTTCCCGAGCCCTTTTGGAACAGAAAGCACAACTAGACTGGCCGCATCTCACTGGGTTTTATTACGGATTAGGTGACTGATTTGCACAGGCGCATATCGGCTGATCTCAGTCATCTCCGCGATGCTTACACCTCATCAATTTGTGCTGGTTCCTGTTTGTTTGCTCGGGTACGTTCATCTCGTGTCGATTTAAACTGTGATCTTGTCACAACCAAATTGGAACAAGGTCGTGCTCGTTTGTTTGAATTTGCCCAAATTGATCGGGAAAACGTGGCTCATGTTTTACAAGAAGAAATCGTTCCGTGCTTGTGTGATCTATAGTCTCCGTATGTGAACGATACATACTTGCCATAAAATTTGTCTCTTTCTGGATAAACAGATGATGGGACCGGCTAGATGTGAACCGGACGACAGGCGCATGTCATTAATGTCATAGTTTGGCCGCGTTAGAACATAAGTGTGGTCCTCGAGTGGCTCCCAGAAAATCATTGATGCACAGTGATAACACAGTGGATACATTCTACCAAAAGGCCTTACAAATGCATGAATTTCTTGAAAAACACTTGGTCACATCTTTTTAATCATATTTTGAAGTTTGTTGTTTGCACTATCTAACGCAATGCGTACAAGTAGGCAAGCCATCAACAAACTCTTGGGTTAATGCATTTCTTTGTCCCAATAATAAAGGTGCGGTAGATTATCACGCCTCAATAGACATTCAGCTCATTACAGCTAAGTTACAAGCACAATACGATCTGTTTGAGGCATGGCTGCGAAGGTATCATAATCTAACTGCTCTGATGTTGTACGATAAAATGTCTTCCATACATTCATCTGTGATGAAAACTGGGTGGCATCAAGCCCAGATTGATCGCTCAAGTACACCTTTCGGTTGGCTGAGGATTCCTTACTGTTCGAAGAATGAACCCGATGACAAGTCAGTTGTAGACATATCCACTGACCAAACTGCCCGTTTGGCCTCCTGTTCATCCGGGCGACGGTACCAGTTGTTATAATTCTAAAAGACGGTGCTGGTCGAGGATAGTCACTTATTGTCAATAACGTTCGAGATATGGTTAGTTTGTCATTCATACAACAAAATATTTCATTTGGAACAAGTTTAGCAGAATTCCCACCCCACTCCACCCGCCACACACAGAGGATAGTTGATGGAACGATTCACTATTAGATGTGCATGCTTGTCTTCACCATACGGAACATCAGCAATTTGCTCCAACAGATCTTGTTGATTTTTGATCGTTAAAAGAACATGCTGATCGCATCTTTTTGCGTACTACTCACAAATGATTAGTATCTCACAACATCGATAGTGTTCTAAACCTAAAACTGAGAGTATTCAGATCAGTATAATACCTTCGATAATATGGGATTTTACAAAAATTTCTTTTTCCAAATACTGCACGATGTAGCGAACAGGACTTGTTTTCAGTAATTCATCTTGTTCGGTCGCACGAGCAGACGCTTGACTCAGAGAGAGAGAGAGAGAGAGAGAGAGTTCGTGAAGATTTTCCGGCTTGGCTACACACCGACCGAGATGACAAAGTCCATTACTTGAGCGCAATCTCTTGACACCTGGTTGAGTCAGATAATTTACTAGACTTATCCAGAGCCTTGCGTCCCCTTTTACAACTACGTTTGTGAACAACAATCTAAGCGAACTGAACATCGCCTCGTGGCCACAGCGGAAGCCGATGGAATTCACATTCACAATCCACCCTGTGTGTGCGCAAAAACCGAAACAATTTGTGAAGATATTCGGTCTCCCATGACCCTCCGCCCACCCCGTTTTCACCCACCCCTCACAATCTTCGTGGATAAATCCGGACTAAACACCACACCGAAAACAGTGGACATTATCTACATTCCTTCAAGCTAATCAATTTATTACTGTTATTTTTTTTAAGTAATATCTCCGCCCTCCTGTATTTTAATCGAGTTATATAAATTGTGATGTATTAACCGATGAAGACGAATCAGCGAAAAACAAGTCTTGTCCGCTACATTGGGTTCTATTCAAAATGTGCGTTGGTGATCTGATGGGACGATTTCTCTTTATCGTTCTGTGGAAAGCGTTCGTGACAAACACCTCTTTAAATCTGATTAATTGAAGATTCCATATAACAAAAGTCGGTGAAGACCTTCATAAATGCTATCAACTTGTCAAAAAATATGGTGTGCCATCTGAAACTGTTCCTACAAACTAAAACAAAGACATACAGTAGTGTACTTACACTGGACAGTAGGTCGGAAGTTCGATCCCGAAGCTCTTTCAATCGATCCTCGATTCGACGCACTGCCTGGCCGGCCTCGTATCGTTCGATTTCGTAACGTTTCAAACAGCGTTGTAAGTGATCCAGCTAGACCGACATATGGAATAGATTGGGTGAAAAATGAAAGGATCAATGCATCAGAGTTGATTACGAGACCAAAATGAGTGAAATCACTTCATATTTAGTGAAGGAAATAAAGTTATGCACTCGCCTAAGAGGAATTAAGTACTATAATTGTAAATCTATCAAATAATGCATCAAAGATTCTCAGTTTGTGCTGAAGTTATCAACCGTTATTTTTACCTTTACTCATCGAATATTATGACCAGTAGTACTCTTTTAACTGCTCTCCTTATGTACATGTATATCTGATACCAGATAAACGCCACAACTATTGTACTAAATTTGTCACTTTGATGAAAAATATTGAGCTTAGAGAAATTATATTCCTAAGGCTATGCAACTGTAAGTAATGAAAGCATAATTTGGGGACATGATGATCCCGTATCATAGTTTGTTCGGTGTAAGCGTTCACAAAGAGAAAGGACAAGGATGTGGGTTTTTCATAGGGAAGTCCTGGTTCGAAAATGACTTGTCTTACAACATGACCGATAGAACTGATCACTCTCAGTGTGCATCCATCATGCTTACGCTTGCTTAAGCAGAGACTAACATTCGCTCGAAAGTCGTCCAGCTACATCTCACACATTTTTTGCGAGGGCTTTTCAGACGAATTTCTTTTGTCTTTTATAATTAATTCCGTTTTGATTTGTTGAATACACAATTGAGTAGTCAACTTTCAGATTGACGGGCTGCGATCATAAAAAAGTTGTGTGGCAAAGTGCAGAAATTGAGAAAACTGGGCAGCGGTGGAGTGGTTTCGAACGCGGAACTTCCGGGTCACTAACTTGGATGAATTTAACCCCTTGACTAGCACCGTTTGTCTACCCGATCACTGTTGTACTGGAATGTTTAACCGATTTTATGCTCAATGGATACTGACCGTCTAATCGGCCGTTGTGAAATCGCGTATCCGTGAGTCGATCAGTCCTTGGTGAACACCATATTGCATTCGTTGGACTCGAAACCGGCGACTGACTGCATTGTTCAGGGAAAATAAAGGTATTGCATCTGTTTGCCCCGGGGTTCAAATCAGGTCGGAATTCCCGAATACGTTTTTTTGATAGTCTGTACCAATACAGTGTGGTGTTTATGTGGTAGTTCAATGGTAGGCATTACATTCAGCCAGTTTCATGGATTTAATTGACATAAATTAGCTTATAGATTGACTCAAGTAAGACCTGCAGTACACACTCAGCGAAATCAATAGAACAGGACAGATGAAACCATTCCTGACAGTCTTTCTTTTTTTAGAGTTTACATCAAGAAGTGAACGTTAAAAATGATAAACACCATATATATATATATATATAAAGCATGCCAGATTCTGGAATAGTAACCGGATGGAAGAATGCCAATCTGATCAGATTTGGGCCCAGATAACCTGGCTGATTCTGTAACCAATATTTTCACCCAGATTACACACAAACATTTGTGGAAATGTTCTGTATACAATACGGTTCTCCAAATAGCCCTATTCCAACGAGAATGAATATTCAACAGAAGCCAGAATAGCTAAAGCAAAAAATTGGCAAGATGAGATCAAGTAAATAAAAAAGACAACAACAGAAACAACAAAAGCTGCCAGAGAAAACAAGTTGGGTAAAATACTTTAGAGAAATTGCATACAGAATTTGGTACAGACAGATACCCGAATTTGAAGCGAGTAGTTGAGGTTCAAATGCATTGACCTATTGTTCTACGGTCTACTTTTAGCTCAGTCTTTCGAAAAAGCTGTGCGGTTGAAGACTTACGTTTGTCATTCGGACATTTGCCGTTGATTTCGATGGTGAGTTGTGTTCCTGTCTCATCGAGTGCACTGGTTCATGCAATTTATATCTTTTCTCGCACTTGTGCATGTGGTCCGCTAGATAAGAAATCCATGTGGTAATCCCGGGAATCTGTGCCAGGGATTTCGCATTTCTTGAGTGTTCCCATACCCCATCCATAATCGTTTGAATGGATGAAACGTTTTCTAAGCCTATACATTAAATGCGCGGCATCTCTCAAAACTCCATCATTTCAATCACAGCCATCTCACTTTCATTAGGGAAACACGATTTTGTGAACTTTCAACCTGATGACGATGATGGCAGTAATCTACACCTTTCACTCTCCTATGGGTTACATCTTTCGCAACAGCTGTGTGCTTACAGCCTTTTAATGACTATAAAAACCTCCAATAGGAACATTTCACCTAACTATCCCTCTTTCACGACTCAGTTGCACCTTGACTCCAGTGTCGTTCAGTCCGTAAACTTTGACTCGGATCTTTTCGCTCTACCATTATTATTCAAATCCAAGTCATACTGATATAATCCGACAATTTGATGCCTGGTCGAGAATAGTTGTTTATTGCCAATAACGATCAGGATATGATTAAATTTTCAGTCATACAACAAAATATCTCATTTCGAACAAGTTTGCCAAATTCCCGCACACATACAGGATAGTTAATGAAACGATCCACTATCAGATGCGCATTCTTGTGTTCACCATATCGAACAGAAGTGATTCGGTCCAACGGGTGTTATTCATTTTTGGTCGTTCAAAGAAAGCGCTGATCTCATCCTTTTGTGTGCCACTTCTTTAGTGAGTACTATCTCACAACACTTTCCCCTGCTTTCCGTGCTGTACGAAATACCGGCACCAGCAGGCACTCACTCTATATTAAGTAGTTCACAAATAATTAGACAACGTTCTCCTGAAGCACGCGATCCGTTTACCGGTCCTGTATGTTGAGTCAGATATGCGGATCCGGCAATTTTTTATCCAATTATTTAATCATTCGTTTCTTAATATGAATCAAAAAAGGTAAATTTGATTTACATCTCAGTGGGCTGATTCATGCTAGCCAACTTTCCACTCTCATACACAGCCCAAACGCATCTCCAATTGACGCCTGATTGTATGCAGTGCCTCTCCTCCACATGCATACACACACCCGCTTCCACGCTTGACCGCCTACACGTCAAAGTATCTCGCATTACTAATCATTGGTCATAGTTTTCTTGTCCATTTTTCCTTGTCCTTTTTTGGGTTCCCGTTTCCTCGAGGTTGCCCCATCTGTGCCAATCCTTTTCATGGCTCATCACTAGGCAAGATTCAGATGACTAATCACTCTTGCTAAGTATCTGTTTCGAGGTGCCGAAAGCCTGGATTTTCAAATATGTTTTCCCAAGTTATGTCACATTGACCACCTTTTCTTGAACCGTTTCACCGACAACTTACGGCACTTCAAAGAGAATAACTTGGAATCATTGTGACGCTTTCTCTATGTCCCGTATCCTTCCAACAATGTATAGCTTCATTAGTGGAAAGCACAATAATTTGTAACAAAAGATATTGATCGTTGTGAGTTGAGTTGCACCGCCGCCGTAATACTACGGGCCACATTTGTGCAGTTTAGTGTCATTTTTGGTCACTAGCGCGATACAATAGTCAGTTAGGATCTCGTAAATTCGTTGCTGTGGGCTATTTTACCCTGCCTTTTTTCACATTAAGGTTTGCTCCTTATGAATACGTCCCACAAACAGGGAAAATGCACCGTCAGTTGATGCAGATTATATCTGATTCATTGAGTAAACGACGGTAGTAATCAACTTTGTCCAGGACCAACCAAAGCTGGTAATCACATGTTGCTAACACTACGGAGAACACTCATTTGTTGAAAGATAACCGGTTTATTTAGACCAAATTAGAATGTTTTTGCTCTCCTGTTGTAACGGAAACAACAGTCAGATGTGAGGTAAATTCGAAACCGACGGAAAATCGAGTGTGCTGACACGTATTGCATTTTTCCCCATTCAGTTTTACGATTTTAGAATTCCGTATCCAAAATTAGGCCGACTCAGGTGTCTGACTACACAGAACAAACGTCTGTCAACATCGTCACGTTTGATTCACTAACAAACAATTGATTATCGACCGGACATACGTTGATCTAAATCACACTTGAAAAACATGCTTTGAACCCTCCTTTTCCAATTAGATTTGATTTGTTTTGTTTGTTATATTGATTAAAAACCCTTGAGGCCTAATTGTTAAACACAGTTATCAGGTTATCTACTTAACCGTCCGACTGGACACATTGGGCTTTGAATTCCGTTTTTCTGACCGGCGCTGATTTGTCGACCGATTCCGGATTTAAACCCTGGACAACGCGCATAACAATTATAACTCATTCGATTCATTGGGACTAATTACAAAAAAAATGACGTATATCCAGTTATCCAACTTCAATGTGTCAATCCAATTCCAAAACCCATCAACAAACAAGAATGATGCAATGTGATTCTTGGTATTTCAAGAAAAAGCTTTTTCTCCACGGATAGAACAAAAGTTCTGTTTCTAGGGGAGTCTTATTTTGCAATCCTTATACATAAAATTATCGTTCACGAGTCATGTGATTCGATAGATCTCTCGTGGTAATACGGCACAGTTACTGTGGATTATCACAAACTACCGCTCATCATTATCTCAGCGGACTACTTTACCATGAATTTCTTTTGAGCTTGCGATGAGAATAACCTATATGTTGAACGATAGCTAGATTTCACCATTGGCTTGCATCTTCTTCACTGGTGCTTTTCCTGATCTATCGGCAAAATCAGTGTTTACATTGTTAGCAAATTTTGTCATAACTGAAGTCATGGATACTGGTTCATCTTTGGTTGTAACAGTCAATGAGGCCCATGACAAGTAAAGTTTCGATTTAAGTTAACTAGATGACAGCACAGTTTTTTGCTGAGTGTAACAGAGTGTTCACGAAAACAGCTTGAAGGAACACATGCGTTGATGTATTGATTTTTTTCCACAGGGTGGGAATGAGATCCATATGTTGCCACGCCTAATTAAGTTTTTCCAGTCATGTATGTGAGAAGAGAGAAACCGCCATATAGTACCGTTGTATAATTTGTCTCTCGGACGATTTTCCTGCATCTCAACAGGGTGCACAAAGTAGAACACAACTGAGCGTGTGAGTAGCGTGCACACTAGTTGGAAATCAATAGAAATTAAAAAAAGGGCCCACCAAGGCAGTGCCCGGAGTATGAACAACGCTTGGTGCTTGGCTCGAGGCTTGTTTCTCTCGATCAGATGAAAGTAATCGCTTCACAAGGGTTAAGTGTTCCTGCATTGTCATTGGTGCAGACCACTTTGAATATTTTATTACGACTTAATCGATGAAAAGTGAAGGAAGATTAAAACTTTTCCCTCTGGAATAAACAGCTATGTGACGAATGAATAGCTTTTCAGTGTTTTTTTTGCTAAGGCTACCGTCTAGTGTGTTGTTGCATTTGCCTAAGATAAATCTACGGAGTGTGTGTGTGTGTGGGGGGGGGGGTTCTTTACGATAAGTCTGTGTTCTAATCCATTCAGCAACTAGCTTTGATCCCAGTCAATTATTGCGAGAAAAACTTTCACAGAAAATATCCGCATCTTGATTTTGGCTGTGAAAGAACTGATGGAATCAATTTTTTGTTTGAAAACAATGTTGAATCCGAACAGTGTTTCGAATAGACAATCTGAAATCAGACAATTATGAAACACACAGCAAATGCCATCGCGATAACTGTGTTTATTTTTCAGTGAAAAGAATGAAGAAGAGCTCTCGGGGACTTGAGGCTTTGGGAAATGAGGATGAACTATGGAGGTATTGTGACAATTTATTGATTACCGTTACGAATACTCCAATAAGCGTGCACTAAAATGGTCTACCGTTTTTAGTAAACATAACAAGCTATGAATTGAGACAAATTAGTAAGGTAAAGTAGCACATGTTGTATCAAATACCACATTTGAAGGACGAACGAGTAATGCGAAGGGAACAATGCCCACAAGAGAAGTAGGCACTTCCACAATCACGTTGATACCATATCCCAATCCATCAGCTCTATTCTTTATCCCTTTTGTAGTCTAGGTTAGCTGAATGATCAATGAAGTGCGGTCACGTACCCTCGGAATAGATAGATCACAATCCGATTCGGAACATGTGACTAACAGAGTCTGGGCAAACGGGATAAGCTGAGAGAACAGAGAAGCGTTTCACAAAAAATACATCTTATCCTTTGAATTGTTTACTTGAATAGTTTGTTCTAAATGAAGTTTTATGCTGTTAAACTATCCGGTCAATGTTTCGATGCACTTGTGTGATTACTTATCCATAGAAAATACAAACACGTCGAGTGATTCAGCCAGAATTCTTTCTCATATATGTTGTCCGTAAACCAGGTCGTGCTAGCGCCACCGGTGATCAACATCGCATTGTGTCGTGGAGACACTCCCTCAAATGGAGAAAAAACTATACCGTTGGAATTGCCAACTAAATATTGAATATTTGAAAAGATTCATGCATTAATCAATTCGACGCTTTCTTCGTCGATTTTCATGAAAATAAATGAAGGTCTATTGAAAGGGTTCCTAGCCTACGTGATAACGCCAGCCACGGCGCGTCGCGTTACAGTTTCTGGAGAACGAACCACAGGTCGATCGTGTCGGCCAATCGGAAGTTGTACGGTCCCGACAGAAGCTGTATGACGACAAGAATACAAGCACGCGATTGGTGGATATCTGAATAACCAATAAACATCTTTTGTAAATGTTGTTTTTTAGTTCCCTAGATTTCCTCCAGTAAATGAACTGCTACCTCTATCTCGTTTACGTGAGATACCAGCGTGCAGGTGCTAGTGCGATTCAATGTTCCAGTTGCGTCCGTAATTCACGATTCGTGATTCGTGATCTGTGCTCAGATCCGTACAGACTG